TTTCGATTTCGGCTATATCATAAACATGTGTTTGATATAAGAGCGATGACACCAGGTGTTCGCGAAAGTTGAGCGGATCCTGCCCCACGGGTGTTCACCTGTAACATGCAAAGGAAAGATGTTCTCCTGACATATAATGTAATGAACACGAGGCCTTTAACGTCAAACGTTTTAACCAAGCAATCCTCTTTAGTCAATAGACCGCCTTCGTGGTCTAATGAATAGGACTGGCCGGCACGGAGATACTTATTGGGTATCTCAGTGGGCTAGCGCTATATAACCGAAATTAGTCTGGACTAGTACAAGCAGCCTCCCCCCATCCCAAATTAAAAATTTGCTTGAAGGCTAGTGGTGTCGTTCTTTTCTGATATTGCAAGAAATACAAATTCTTAATGTCATCTGAAGTTTACTCAGAAAACGATATGTGAAAAGCTGGTCTTCCTAATACACTGAAAGGCAAAAGAAACGTCATGTGGATGTATCATATAAATATCTTTATTCTCAAATGCTTATATATGTAAGTAAAGACATGGGAGAAAGTCAGTGTTTGACCCACATGAAATTAACAGTCTGGGGAATGTTTTTGCGAATTGTGAATTTGGGGAGGCACCAGAAGATATCACAGCTGGGGGGTTCAAAATCAGTACCTGGTGTTGCCACCACGGGCGTTGACTACAGCCACACATCTCCTGTACATGGAGTGGAGTAGCCTGTTGGGATATGGGCCCATCTCCTCAGGAACGGTACACGCAGTTCTGCTGCAGTTGTCGGCCTTGGGCGGACGTCGTTGAGTCGGCGTTGGATCTCATCCCACAAGTGTTCAATGGGATTTAAATCCGGACTGAGGGCAGGCCAAGGCATGATTTGGATGTTGTGCTGCTGGAGGAAGTCCCTGGACACTCTGGCAGTGTGGGGACGGGCGTTGTCTTGCTGAAAGGTGTGGTTTTGATGACGGGCAAAAAAAGGCACGATATGGGGTCTGATGACTTGGTCAATGTAGCGGAGAGCTGTGATGCCATTACCCCTGCCTGGACCAATATTCTGAAAGACCACAGGTTTCTACTCTCTGGTTCAGTCCGATTCCACCCCAAACCATGATGCTTGGGCCGCCCCACGGGTCTCGTTCCAAAACACAAGCATCAGCATAACGTTCGCCCCTCCTTCGCCAGACCCTGACTCTGCCATCCACCGTTGAAACACAGTAGCGACTTTCATCAGTGAAGATGATTCTTCTCCAGTGCTGTTGACGACAATTTTGATGCTGCCTGGCCTATCGGTGACAATCTCTCAGGATGGGTACACGAGCAGGATGGTGGAACGAGATGTTGTTGCCAGTTAGGCGACGTCGGACTGTACGATCACTGATGGCACGCTGGTGGTTGCCAATGGTTTGCCGAGCTGTTTCAGTTGCCATTCGGAATCGGTTCTGCAGATGTTGGTGTATCATGAACCGATCTTGTCTGGGAGTAGTGACGCTAGGACGACCACTACGCGATCGGTCGTCGGTGGTGTTGGTGGTGTTGTGGCGATGTTGCAAACGCTAATCGTTCTGACGTTGACATTGAATGCATTTGCAACGACCTGTGCACTCTGGCCTGCTTGCAGTCTTCCGATCGCTTGTTGTCTCTCATTTCCTGATAATCTTGGTATGGCTGATGAATCGAAATAACGAAAGCCAGCTAAACAGTTTTGGGTGTCTTTTATACCCATACCATCCACGATATGCACGTGCATCATGTTTTTGACAAGACTTTCCGCAACTGAGTCCCATTGCACTTTTGTAGGCTACGTTTGGGCAAAGCACTCCATTTTAAACTCAGGCAACAAAAAGAAGCAGTAGAACGTTAAATGAGTTTATTGACCGCAGGACATGTAACTGCCAGTGTCTGTTAAGTTTTATCAATATTTTCCGAAGTGAGGTTTCTTTTGCCTTTCAGTGTATATACATACATATATATATATATATATATATATATATATCGTCTGAGGCGCCGCGATTCGCTTTGCAGAGTTGTGTCCCTTAGGCACGCCAGAAACCTATGATTGTGGGTTCGAATCCAGGTTGGCCCCGATTATGTTTCTAGGTTTGTCAGCACCATACCCGTGCTCGTGGGTTTTCACCGAAGTGGTAAACGTCTTAGACCTGCATCACTTCGGGCTTTCCTCCAAAATTAAGCTGCTGACACGCCGCGATATAACTGCAATACTGTTAAAAGCGGCGTTAAACCCAACTCACTTACTCACTCACTCACAAGGTTAAATCAACACTAAATATAATTGTCACAAATAACAGACTTGTGTTCATGGTCACAAAAACGTACCACACGAACCGATCCAACTGTCATTATCTGCACGTGCAACTCGAGGTATGGACACAATAACAATGGCGAGTGACAATATGCACTTGAACCAATGTGTTTTTTCCCGTGTATTTAAGCTCGCGGATGCCTCATACGTGATGTGGCTGCACCTTTTAACGTCACACAGACTCCGGCAGTGGTACCAAAACACTGAACACTTCGCCTTGAACACAAAACACAGACGTTCGCATTGTCCTTACCGCCACACCAAGCAGATTTGTGGTGATAGCTTCTGTTCCGACGTCAAATTCTTCCTGGCACCACATCATCAGCATTGGAGTAAGTGAGCGAGTGTGGATTTACGCCGCTTTTAGCATTATTTCAGCAATATCACGGCGGGGGACACCACAAATCGGCTTCACACATTGTACCCACGTCGGGACTCAAACCCGGGTCTTCGGCGTGACGAGCGAGCGCTTTAACCACTAGGCTACCCGACCGCCCCCATCAGCGTTGGAATCAACGTAAGTGGTCGCTAGATGTGTTCTCCGATGAGAGCAGATTCTCTTCTTTCATTGTGGCCGTAGACGTGTTTACAGACTGCGTCATGAACGTTTTGAGGATGCTGATGTAATGGCGCATAATCTATTTGGTGGTGGTTCCATAATGCTCTTAGGACTTTTGAACGCTCAATGTTACGGAGATGATATATTTGCCCAAATTGTCGTCTAGTTCATCAGAACTATAGGTATCTACGCAGGTTCCAAAATTCTTTAGGACTATAATACTAGTCCACACGGTGTAAATGTGGCCAGACCCGTGAAGATCCGGGGTAGAATAGATCTTCAGCAACCAATGCTTGCCGTAAAAGGTGACTATGCTTGTCGTAAAAGGCGACTAACGGGATCGGGTGGTCTGGCTCGCTGACTTGGTTGATGCACGTCATCGATCCCAAGTGAGTGGAGCGATGCTCATGATGTCGATCACTGGATTGTCTGGTCCAGACTCGATAATTTACAGACCGCCGTCATATAGCTGGAATGTTTCTGACTGCGGCGTCAAACAACAAACAAACAAATTAAATGTGGCCAATGGAGATACTAGGGTGTCAAATAGTGTGGTATGGGAAAATAAAGACAAACTGTTGATGACGTTGTAATGCCGGTTGGGGAAAAGCTGGTTATTTAGACCTTATCGAGATAATGACACAGAGTATAAAAAGAATGTTTGTTACCTGTATGAAATATGTTCGATGCAGGCAACTATGTTTGACATATTTTACTACAAAAGCAACAAACACAGATTTTTTTTCGACAGAGAGTATCTTACATGTACTACTCATCTTAACACGTGTCCATTACACGGACAGTGTCAAGGTTCAAGGTCATGTGAATATCTCGTGTGTGCACCATTAGCTTCAAGTATTGCATGTCGCTGATCCTTGTGAGAAAGGTAGCGCTTGTGCAAGCTGTTACAGTGTGTGTGGTTCTCGATGTGTCTAGTACGCGGCGATCCAACATCCCATGCGTGTAACCATCGAGGTTGAATCTGGTGATTTAGAGGTCCATTGGGGTAATCTGAATATTGTGGTTCCGTAGGAATGATGTTACGCGCTATGTATTCGGTTAATATTATGGATTGAAAGATGATTTTAGCATGGTAGCTGCAGTATTTCATCACAATAGCGTTTGACCCCTGTACGATTCTTTGTACGTGCACCTAATTTTTTCTACCAATATCTGTGATTCCGCCCACATCATTACGCTGGCACCGGCAAATCTGTTCTCCCTTATGCAGTTGGCGGCAAACGTTTAAAGCGACGTTAGTGCAAACTGGCTATCACCTAAAGGCGTCATCAATTGTAGCTGTAACCAAAGAGTTGTCCGCCGCTGGTTTCGCCAAACACTTACACCACTGATGTCACAGTTGACGATGTTGTTGCATCCAACCAACGCCTCCGACAGGCCATCTGGCTCAAAGATTTGCTTCACGACCGTTGTTTCGCACATTATGTCAGATACCTTCGGTATCCTAATGATTTTAAATTATCCAATCGAGAAATTTGCTTTACGTACATATAATTCTGCAAATACGAACTAATATAACTTTCATGTTTTTGTAAGTATCATTTACAAGTGTGTATAATTCTAAATTAATTCTAAATTAAACTGAACACATTAACGTTATCATAGTAACTACGTTTATAATGAACACGCTTATAACGAACTGACGGATATAACGAACATATTTTTAGTCCCGGCCATTTGATATAAATTTATGTATGCTGTATATATGCTTATAACGAACTACGGTTATTACGAACTAAAATTAGTGGTCCCTTTGAGTTCGTTATAACCGTAGTTGCTGTATGTGCTGTATGTGCATTACAACCTTAATTCAGGATCACCGTTATGAGGTCAACCCTTCTAATGAAGCACATGCAAAATGAAGCATTTAGTTTAATCAAACTCTTTCATCTTTAAAAAACATTGTTATACAGACTGAAATTATGAATTCCTCTATGATTAATAATGTGTTCATAACCGAGCACAGTGGCATCACCGGGAGGAGACGGTTAGCCGACACAGAACAATCCTTCAGAGGTGGCAACAGCAGCAACAGATAAAGAGACGAGTCTCAATAGATGGCTACGCAGCTATTTAGCCATTTATCTTTCGGCTGGTTTATAAGGGGTAATCTAGATTATCAGCATCATTAGCGATCACGATGAAGAGAGTGGTCTTTGCTGTGCTTGCGCTAGTGAGTCTCTCTGAGATTCAGAGCGCGCCTACAACAGCTGACCCAGGTGAGAAACTATGATACATGATACATACTGATACATACTGATACATATATATCAATTATTAATCAATGTTGTTTGTCTTTAAAGTCATATGATGAGAAGCATCGTGAGAATTAATTGATATTTAAATGCATCTATCACTTCGTTGTAAAATCGTGTTTCATAAGTTTTACATACAGAAAATGTATTTGCTTTAATATAAAAATATATCTGTGATATATAATTGTTAAATGCATTACACAGAGTTATAAGACCCGTGAACATTCGGGTTAGAATAGGTCTTCAGCAACTCATGCTTGCCGTAAAAGGCGACAATGCTTGTCGTAAGAGGCGACCAACGGGATCGATGATCATGATTTATTTCAAACACTGGTTTGTCTTGTCCAGACTCTAATATTTACAGACCGCCATCATATAGCTGAAATATTGCTGAGTGCGGCGTTAAAAAAACAAACAAACAGTAAAGTCTAGGGTAACTTCTGATAAACTTGAAAAGATTCAGTTGAAAACAGCTAGCATAGTTACTGGTCTTCTTAAATTCAGGTATCGAACTATTTTATTTTTAGACACAGGATTGGTGACATCATCAAGGAGACGTTAATCTAAAAAAGCAATATTACTTTATATTGAATTATCAGCAGCCTATGTCCAAATTACTTGAATAACCTTTTATCACCACGAGAAGTCAACATAAGTCACCATTATCTTAGAAATAGAGACAACACTGGTAATTCCACACGCTCGTACTGGTACCAATCAGCATTATGTGGTACCAGACACTCTTATGGAGGTAGGAATTACCTTTTTACAGGAATATGGACTTTCTTCTAAAAGTTCATATTTTAAAGAGTGTTATACCCAAAATACGTTAACTTATTTGTCCCATTTCATTATCTAAGGACAGGCGAGCAAATATACTTCATACTCGTTTAGGACAATCCTGTAGTTACATAAAATGCAGATATATTTAAACATAATTTGTCAAAAAGCATAACATGCCAATGTGGAAATCCATGTTAAAATGACTATTCTTGTTTTCTTGAATGTCATAATTATAATACCATCAGAGGTGAGGTGAGGTTAAATTGGGTTTAACGTCGCGTCCAAGATTATTGCACTTATATAGCGATGTGTGTGTGTGTGTGTGTGTGTGTGTGTGTGTGCGTGCGTGCGTGCGTGCGTGCGTGCGTGCGTGCGTGCGTGCGTGCGTGTGTGTGTCTGTGTGTGTGTCTGTGTGTGTGTGTCTGCTTCTACTAGTCCGGACTCATGCCGATTTACAGTGCTAATTCACTGAGATACCATGCCACAGTTTAACATGAATACCTCACTCAGACACAGTATACTGACTCTGAGCCCACTAGTCCTTGTTTTAGCCCCTTAATGCCGAGCGCCAGACAGGGTAACAATAAGTACCATCTTTTAACGTCTTTTGGTATGACGCGGCCGGGGATCGAACCCCGGACCTTCCGCTCTCCGGGCGGACACTTTTACCCTAGACAACGGAGGCGGCCTAATACCATCAGAACTTCATTGAATATCAATATATTCAGTTTGATGTAACTTTTCGATCCAGACAAAATTCTTTATGATGATATTTCAAGCACATTAATAAAAGTGTGCAAAAATTTATTTTTTTCAACAAAATGGTTAGTGTCACATTTATATTCACTACACTTTATACTCAAAAACATCTCGTATTTTACATTTGTTGAAATATGATGAAATATGTTACTTTTTCGACGGATGTATTGCATTTCATATAGGGACTTCATTTATTTCGATGTTTGATATTTACACTTTTGTCCGCTT